ATGGTTGTGGCAACCCTGAAATTATAAAATCGAAATGTCCAAAATGCTCACAAAAAAAAGAGAGAGCCTCTGTCAACGCCATACACATGTTTACTTGTCTTACCTCCCCAGTAGCTCTACTTGACATCGAAGTCTATGAGGCTACAGGCACAGTTTGTGCTGATACAGGAGCCAGCCAGTCACTCGGGGAGAATTAATGTTTAAATTCTTGAGAAATCGTGGACAAAAATTCTCAGAATTTCATCTTGCTATGTGCCTAGCTGATGGTCAACAATCCACATCCCTTGTTCAAAAGCTACAGTACCAATCACCGTAGGTGGACCAGAACTTTCAAATCGATTTAATTTTTTGCCACATGCAAAGGTAACCGCACTCTTCTAGGTGTTGACTTTTAAGGACATCAGGAATCGTAATGGACATGCGTAACAATTTTTGGTATTTTGGTGACAAACCAAGCTTCAGGATACCTTTTTCAAAAGATGTTCCTTTGCCTGTAGACGACAGTCCTGTCGAAATAAATAGTAGTTCTTGTCCCACGAATTCGATTCCCAGTGAAATTCCATTCCATAGCAACACTGTTAAAGAAACTGAGACAAATGATCTCCATTTGCGAGAAGAAGAAGGACAGGCCCTAAATGTAGAAGAAAGAAATGATTTGATGGTCCTGCTTAATGAAAGTAAAGATGTTTTCAGACTAGGGGGAGAACCAACTCCATTCGTAAAACACTTTATAAACACAGGTGACCACCCACCAGTTTCAACTGCACCTTATAGACTATCTCCAAACAGGAAAGAACACTTAAGGAAAGAAATTGATAATCTTTTGGCTCATAATATTATAGAAGAATGCGAGTTCCCATACGCAGCCCCAGTAGTTTTAGTACCCAAGTCTAATGGAACTGTTAGGTTGTGCATAGATTATCGTAAACTAAATGCGATTACTATACCTGACAAATATCCACTGCCCCTCATGGAGGTTCTTTTACATGATGCTAAATCTACTGCTTTTATGTCTACCCTTGACTTAAAATCCGGTTATCATCAGGTAGAGGTCAATCCAGCGGACCAGGACAAGACTGCATTCGTTTGCCCTTTTGGTACATTTAGGTACAAAAGAATGCCATTTGGACTTCGCAATGCCCCAGCAACCTTTCAGTGTCTTATGGACCAGTTTCGTAATGGATTGCCAAATGTAAATATCCTGGTGTATTTAGACGATATCGTTGTGTTGTCTGAAACGTTTGAACAACACATTGAGGACTTAAGAATGGTCTTTGACAGACTTAAAAAATTTAAATTATGTGCTAACAGAGAAAAATGCAAGTTTGTTTGCTCTTGCGTGAAATACCTTGGACTTTGGATAACTCCTAAGGGAATAGAGGTGGATCAAGATAAAATTGCAGCGATACAAAACATTCCTTCCCGAGAAACCTAAAGCAGCTACAGTCATTTTTACAGACCTGCTCATGGTATAGAAAATTCATCCCGAATTTTTCAGATATTGCTAGACCCCTTAGCAACTTGTCAAAGAAAAGTACTGCTTGGAAATGGAGTGAAATTGAGCAACAAGCTTTCCAAACCCTCAAACAATGTTTAATAACCCCGCCAATATTGAGACAAGTTGATCCTAAAAAGCCTTTTATCATCCAAACGGATGCAAGCAGTTACCCCTCGGTGCAGTTCTGCTACAAGGAGAAAGCCCCACCGATGAACAACCAGTAGAATATGCCAGTAGACTCTTGAGTTCTGCTGAAAAAAATTACTCGACAACAGAGCGAGAAGCCTTGGCTGTAGTCTGGGCCTTAAACAAATTTAGAGGATATATTGAAGGGGCAGAAATTACAGTGGCATCTGACCATCAACCGTTAAAGTGGCTGATGAATTTAACATCACCAACCGGAAGATTAGCCCGATGGGCACTTCAAATACAATCTTACAATCTGAAGATTGACTATTTTCAAGGAAATGCAATTTTATTGCAGATATGCTTTCAGGCCAGAGTATAGAGATGAAGAAATTTGCGAATTAAAAACTATAATTATTGATTTCCCGACGAGAACTGCTAATGAGCTAAGAACAGAACAATTGAAGGACCTTGAGCTAAAAAAGATAGTTGATTGTTTTGAAAATCCCAACAAGGGAGCTGACTTTGCCAATTGGACTGGGAGAGGGTACGTGATGAATCAGGGAGTACTGTGCCGGTACTCACCTCATGCTGAAGTTGAAGAAGCTCAACTAGTTGTCCCTACTCATGAGAGAGAGAAGATATTAAAATTGCACCATGATGCTCCCACCGCTGCACATTACGGTGCTGATGGTACCTTTCCAGAATTTCCTCGAAATATTACTGGACTGGTATGAGGAAATGTATTGCTGATTATGTTAAGAGCTGTTCAGAATGCATTAGATACAAAGCCACTAATCAGAAACCTGTAGGTCTTCTGCAGACCCCTGTTCCAGCTCAACGATTTGAGAGCATAGCTATTGATCTTTTGGTCCCTTACCAGAAACGACCGAAGGTATGAAGTGGATTTGCATAGTGGAGGATTACACAACAAAATGGGTAGAGTTATTCCCATTAAAGCAAGCTACTGCTAAAGAATGTGCCATGACACTTCTAAATGAAGTCTTCCTAAGATACGGAGTGCCCGTAGACTAATAAGTGACAATGGGACTCAATTCGTGAGTGCGGTGATGCAACAGTTATGTTTTGTCTTGGATATCAATCAAAGTCTCATTCCCGTATATCACCCACAGGCAAATCCAGTCGAAAGGAAAAATAGGGATTTGAAACCTCGTTTGGCAAGGATGGTAGGTAACAACCATACATTATGGACTGAAAAGCTACCAGCTATTAGATTTGCACTGAATACTTCAAAATGCGAGTCAACAGATCACACGGCAGCATACCTAACCTTCGCCAGAGAACTACGAACTTTGGACCAAGTAAATACTGATCTACGGTCCGTCATCCATAACGATAATTTTGTGCCTGAATTTACACCCTATTTAAAAAGTTTTGAAGGATACATGTCACAAATTAAAGAAAACATTGAGATGAGTCAAGATCGTCAAAAAACATATGCAGATAAATCACGCAGACCAAGTCCTAACTATAAAGTTAATGATCTGGTATGGGTAAAACTTCACCCATTAAGTAAAGCGAGTCAGAACAGGAGTGCAAAACTCATTCCTAGGAGAGACGGGCCGTACATTGTGCTGTCCCAGAGATCTCCCACTACCTTTGTAGTAGCCAGTTGTGACAAACCTGACGAACCTTTAGATGTCTACCATACATCAGCTTTAACACCCTTTCTGAATGGCACAGAGACCCAGTCTCCTGTAGTGCCTCTCAAGAAAAGAGGAAGGCCACGCAAACAGCCATTGGTTCCTAGAGGTACTGCCGGAGAGAATGCCATAAGGTCTGCTAGTACACCCCCTCGCCGAGACGGTCTTCGGCGGTGTAGGGGGAGAATGTAACAACTACATTTAAACCCTGCCTTCCCTTGATGATTAGTGGCAGCCAGGGGGCACCACCTGTTCTTTAGAGAAGCGGGGAACTCGTTCCCCTCGCTTCTGCCTTGGATCGCTACCGGGGAAAGATGTGTACACGTGGAGTCAGGGAAAGCCTGTTTCCCTCCTTTAGTCCTTAAGCCATTTTCTGTAACGATAATGGATGTGTGTTGTTTTGTTGTTTTATTTAAGTGACCCCTTGTGTTGTGGAACGTAAGAACATTAAATAGTATTTGTTCCAGTAATGAAAAGGCCTCTTCATTTAAACACAATGAATACACGACATGGGGGATTGTCATAAATGGTAGATTTTACATTGAAGTTACTGCAATTTTTAAAATACAATCAAAAATAGAGTATTAATTAGAGAAATGTCACTTTTGCTAAGAAATTTTGAGTGAAATCGAATTTTATGAAACATTTTTTTAAAAAAAATTCAGTTTTATATAATAAGAAATAAAAAATATTACTTTTGCTGGAAAAAAAATTAACTATAGAATTTATGAATATTACAATAAAAACATGATTAAAAAAATCTTTAGATAAAAAATTGTTTTACTTTAATAAAACTACTTAAATGGAGCATTAAAATCATATAGTTATAAATTATACAAACTTTTGACATAGATAAATTAAAAGTATAAATCTTGACTTTAATAATTATAAAATAATTTTTCTAAATATTTATCATAGTACATGTTATACAGCTTTAACCTAAACTATACTATTTCCTTCTGATTATTTGCAATAGAATCCAAAGAGGAAAATTCCATCCCATACCAATGATTAGAAAAGTTCTCCAACAATGGAAGTTTTTCAGAATCCACTTCAGAAGTCCTTTTACTATTTAAACCACCTGGTGACTTTTTAGGATCATAAATGCTTGCAAAATATTTCTAAAAAAAATAATACAGTAATAAAGATAAAAAAAAATATTCTTGTAGAATTATTTGCTTTTTGATTTAAGAACTTAAAAATATCAAAGGTAATTTATAAATTATATTTAAAACTTGTCTTTTTTCAGCTGTTACATACTGAATTATGAAATTATATGATAAAAAATTAAGTAGCATGCAATTCTTTAAAATACTTATAAATATAAAAAGAAATATTGTTTAATAATGAGAGTGAAATTTTTAACTCTTCAATCAACTTTTCATTTTATGCTACTCTTCAATATCAAAAACAAATAATGTAAAAAAAAATTCAGTCAATTCCTACTTAGGTCAACAAAGAAAAATTTTATTTTAGTTACTTTTTATTAAATAATTACAATTAATATAAATATGTATGAGTACATATGACAGGCTCACAATATTAAGTGGCAAAATAGAGAAAGCGATTTTCCTTGCAATTTTCCATTTTCCTTTCTATATAGGGTGTTGAACCATTTTTTTTTTGTTTGTTACTATATATTCATTAATTAAATTTAATTTTTCTAATAAAATAGTATAGTAAAACAGAAAACTCAATCTCAGAAATTAGGCCATTCCAGGTGGCATTCGAATCCACCACCTTTGGATTAGAAGTCCAACACACTATCCATTGCACAACAGGGACACAACGTGCAATATTTTCTTTTTTATATATGGTGTTGGACTATTATTTTTGTTTGTTACTATTTATTCATTAATTAATAAATTAATATTTGAAAAAACTGTATTCACATTAAGTGTCATTCACTACAAGTTTTAAAAAATATATTTGAACTTGAGTGGATGAATAAAAAGTATTTTAATGATTGAAAATTTGAAAAAGATATATGTACATATCTATAAATATATATAGGGAAAGTGTGAACTAATAGTAGGAATTGCAAAAAAAAAAATAAGGTTTAAGTTATTTTACAGCATATTAAGCGTAATAAATAAAGCTTTTACAAATATCAAATACTTTAAGAATATATAATTTAAATTTAACAGAAACAATGCCACTAAAAATATTTCAAAATTACAGTAAATTATTATGTATGTATAAAAATAGGTCAGAAAAAATATGTTTCTAAATTTTATTCACAGTAATTAGTGATGCATTACGTCTATATAAATAAAAATGAATGTTTGTGTGTCTGTTTGTCACTTTTGCCTTCATAAATTGTTCATCCAATTGCGATGAAACTTTGGGGAATAGTTGGACACATGCCCGCAAAGGTTTCTGGGTTAGTAAAATTGACCCCTAAGAGGCATTAGAAATATATATTCCTGTTTTTTAACTATTAGACTTACAAACTTGAAATTTGGTGGGCATGTTCCTTTCAAACATGAGGTCCACTACACACAAGGGGATTTTACAAAAATTGAACCCCAAGAGGTGTCGCAAGGGCTTAAAGATAAATATTCCCGTTTTTTAACTACTAGTCCTGATTGCTAGGAATTTGGAAGGCCTGTTCCTTGCATGGAATAGAGATCCACTATAAAAAGTGGTTTGAGAATCGATCCAAAAGGTTATTGGGAAGGCCAAAGGAGCATTAGAGATAAATATTAGCATTTTTGAACTTTTAGATGTCCAGACTTAAAATTCTGTGTTAGCATGTTTTTTTAATATAGATTTACTAAAACTGTATTTTACGGAAATTGGCACCTACTGGGGGGTGCTGGGGCTTATTTATACAAAAAAATTTATTATTGAGCTACTACTTACCTTAATGAAATTTAGTATGCATATATTAGTTTTGTTGAATGGAAATTAGCTAAGAAAAGATATTATGGAAATCGATTACTATGGGGTAAGAGAGAATCTTTTACAGCGTTTTGATTTAAAAAATTATTCGTTTTCAAACTATTAGACCTACAATAATTAAATTTGGTATGTATGTCTCTGCTGTTGAATTGAACGGGTTCTTTTTAAAATTACTCCTGCAAACGTCCTCTCAGACATAAGGCGTCTTGCAGTCCAGTATAAAGCAGATGTTGCACTAGCAGGAGGGAGAACTCCACAATTGTCTTGCGAAAGAACATGAAGTAGAGAGAGGCAATCAAATAGATGCTCCTTAGTCACTGGCATGGATTTACTGAGGGCAGAGTGGTGAATCAGCTAGGCCAATCTTAAACAGATGGGCCTGCAGGTAATCATGTCACATGACTCTAAAACATGCCACTCCCTCCACCCTAGGTAGCACAAAAAGTTGAGCACGTCTTTTGCCATTGAGCAGACAAGACCAAGATTTACCAACAGCCAGCTCTGTAAGAGTGGATCTTCGTTTCTGACGAAATTTGTCTGAGAAGTCACTTGGCATTTCGAAGATGAAATGGTAGGCAAGGTGGATACAGTTTCAAAGCCTCTTTGGCCAACTTGTCAGTTTGTTCATTTCCATGAATGCCGCACTGGGATAGGATCCATTGAAGGATGGCCTCTCTTCTGGTGCTAAGAAATAAGTCAATAAGTTGTTTGCACTTGAACTGAAGTTCTGATGGGAGAGGATTGTAGCCAGATACGGTCTTAATTGTGGCTTGAGAATCTATGAATATCACAATATTTTGGCCAGGAGTAGTACTAATAGCCATAAATATTGCAAAAAACTCACCATCAAAATTGTCTGACCAGGCTCTAAGAGATTCTTTGAGATTAAAAGAGTTGGAGAAAGCACTATCTCCAGCCCTACCAAAGGAAGCTGTGCCAAAGCCATGAGTAAATACACATAGCCAGTCTTGATCTGGATATCTTTCATGGATAGAAGCCAGGACTGAAGACATTAACTCAGCCAGGGGAGAATTATGCTTACGAACAGGCAGGACCAAATCCAGTATAGCAGAAGCATATCTCAAATGACCTGCGAAGGTAGTCGGTTTAAAGATGGGAAGTCTGTTATCGGAAACACTTGCAAGTCTCTGGAACTCAAACAAGCATGTTGAGTTTTAAGTCTTGTTTGGGAAGGCCAGAAATGCTCCTTTCTCAATAATCGCTCACCAAGAAAAAGAGCATAGAATTTACATCTTTCAGATGACCAGAAATTTCAGTCTGCAGTTACATAGTGGTGATAGGGGTCGAGATGGCTGAACCAGTGATAAATCATAAGTGCTTTATTTTTAACAATGTCCAACTTTGATAATGCATTGTCAGAAGCAGTAACAAGAAGCTCAGAGTCATAATCATAGTAGGTCTAATGTAAGATGTAAAAATGGAAGTCAAAACACTTTGGAATGATCCCCACTTCACACCAGTAATTCTTTTTAACAGAGATAGCCTACTTATAGCATTCTTGACCACTTTAGCAATACGTTTAGTCCAAGTTAGTCTGGAATCCAGGGAAATCCTGAGGTAAGTAGCACAGTCGGTCCTGAATAGAGCATTGTTATCGTAAACCAAGGTTTATGTTGTGCTTTTTTGTACTTAGGGAGAAAAGTTCAAAATGTGTCTTATCAGGGTTTACCTTAAAGTCCTTCTCCAAGGACCAGCTCGCCACGGCCTCCAGAATACTTTTCAATTTAGTGAACAAGTTTGTAGAACGGGTCTTACAGAAATCGACTTTCAAAAGTGGTTAGAGGAGCTTATCGATAAAAAAGTTCTACTTTTGATCTATTAGATTTAGATTTGAAATTTGGCAAGCATGTTTATTTTATTGAGTAGAGATCCACTAAAAATGGATTTTACAGAAATCTACTTGGAAGGGGATTATGAGAGAGTAAAAGATAATTCTACTTCAATTTTAGAAATTATTTGGAAATTTTGTCCTTTTTAAATCAAGAATTACAAGAATATTTTTCAATACAATGGAATTCTTAATGCTAAGATATCAGTAATGTATACATATATATATATATATATATATATATATATATATATAAAACAGTATATATTCATATAACATCATAAAATACCCAGCGAAGAAGGTGGGTAATGGCTAGTTAACGTTTAAAGAAATATGGATACTTAAGCATTAATCTCGTGCCAGTAATTTATCACATTTGTTGAAATTCCTATAAAGTCAACACACAAATACCAAAATATGCTTTAGTATAATCTTTTTATACCTCAATTCTAAAATCAATAATCAGTAATATTCCTTCAAACACATTTTAAATCAACAAACTTTATAAAAGAATTAATGCTTACCTTTCTTTTTTTTAAATGCACAGAATCTTTAACAGAAGTTAATTCAGCTTTTTCCTTTCCTACAGAAACATAACCCTTTTTAAAATTTGAATGCTTCATTACTTCATCAATTTTTTTTTCAATTATAACATTATCATTCTGTATGCTGTCTAGAATTAAAACAGTTTTATTAAGAAAAGTTTAATCAAAAGAATAATTTTTGAAAAATGGAAAACTTTGATAATGTTCACATCAAAATTTAAGGAAAGATCAAGCTTAAAGTTAAAATAAAGATAAAAAATTTTTTGTATAGCTTAAATATTTTTAAGGAGAACCTAAGATGGAATTTTATTTTAAACCTAAATTAGCTATAGCTATAAAATAAAAATACTATTCAGTTTTTAAAAGAAATTTATTAGTTACATTTAATTTTTTTTAGTTAATATACTTCAAGTAATACTACTCTTTCAAGGAAATTGAAGAATTTGCAAAGCAAAATACTTCTTTTAAGCTTAATGCTTTTTAATACCATAAAAAAAATTTCAATAAAAAAAATATATTACCATATTGTATGTCTTTTGGAGAGTTAGAATCCCCAGATATACTCTGAAAAAATATATTTATTTATACCCAATTATTAAAAATAAAAGCTAAAAAGAAAAAATTTCTTGTAAGAAGTAATTGAATGATATCTCTAAAAATAATATTAAGCACTCAAATAAATTGCAGTAATGATTTGACTGACAATGCAGAAATACCACTCTCATATAAAAATGTAATTTTTTCAATTTCTTTTACTTTTGTCAAAGTTTAGAGTAAAAACAAAAATAATACTTATAAAAAGTAAATTAATACTTAAGGTTTAAAATTTAATATTGGTACTTTTTGTTATTTCTAAATGGTCAGAATATTTTTAAGACAAAACCCATTTAAGATTTTTAATTTTACATAAGCTCTCTAAATTATTGAAATTCCCACTTATCATTATATTTAGTAATGAAAAGTTTAAAATAGTTCAAATACAATCTTGCATTACCTGCCAACAAGTAAACAAAAAATTTACCTCCAGAAATCGTTGCATGTGCAATCTTTTCCCACTTATTTCATTATTCAAAGAGGTTACTGCAAATTAAAAACATACCTTCTTAAGTAGTGAACAATACAATTACCACAAATGTATTATTATAAATAATCAAATTTAAGTTCTAAAAATGTATCAGAAATAACATTTACTTACAATTTTCTTCAGATAACATATCTTTTTCAGGAATAAAATTATCACATTCAACATTCTTCTTTGTGTATAATAGATTGTATCTGTTACTTTTAGTTCTTATTGGTGAATCTTTTAATCGAGTTTCTACTGCAATAGGAACATTTGGGAAATAATTATTCGATACTTTAGAAAAATAACTCTTTTTCTTATTGCTAGAATTGCTACCAGTCAATACAGATTTATTGTCAGCATAAGCATTACAGCTTATTTCAGAATTTGTTATGGTATCTAAACTTATATGGCCAGCAGCATT